GCACTCCCTATGTTAAGAGTTGCCTGGGAGCAATTGGAAGCCACCTGTCACCTATCAGAACAAAGTGCATGTTATTATTTGCATTATGATCAACCAAATGAATGATTTGTTGCCTTCTCTCAGCATGGGAAATATCAGCACTTCCAGCATCTCACTGTGAAAAAGGATGCCACTTCCAAGCTAGCCCTGTGACGTCTCCTTCCTTGTCCTGCCTCTGGCATTGCTAGTTTATGGAAACAATGCAAGGGATTTTTTTGAGCCTCAGAGCTGGCATCCCGGGAACTGGATCCTTTCACGGCAGTGAGGATTGCTGCCACCCTGCTAACCAGGGAAAGGAGCTCCCTCAAGGGAAAACTAACTGGGTAGAAGGCAGAAAGGGAAAAATGATTCACCAAATACCTTTTCCTGTCTTTTCAGACCTGAGACCAAACGTGGGTTATAAAGGCACCACCTGTGTGACAGCAAACTCTTGCTTTTGCTAGGAGTGCTAGTAAGGAGTCATCAAACACAACACAGAGGTGCAGCATTCCTAACCGGAAGGGAAAATTCTCAGGCTATCTAGTCCTTAACTCTGCCATGGCCACAAAAAACACCGGCTCAAAGAAATATGTCCAGCTGCTCCTTCTTCAGGTTGCTCTTCTAGGGCCTGTTTTCTGTGGGAAGGTGTTGGTCTGGCCAACGGAAGGCAGCCACTGGCTGAACATGAATGTAATTATACAAGAACTCATCCACCGCGGGCACAGCGTTACCATCCTGGTATCCAACGCTACCCTCTTCATTAAACCCAAGGCTAACGCCAGGGAGAAGATTGAGGTCTATAACGTGCCCTTTGAGAAGGATCTCCCTCAAAGCGTGATTAATGGAATAGTGGCACTGTGGCTCGATAACAGGCCAACCATCTTGACCTTCTGGCATTTTTATAAGGAGCTGGGAAGAATGATCGTAGACTGGCAGAAGATGAGCAAGCTGATGTGTGACTCGGTGCTAGCCAACCCAGAGCTGATGTCTCGCCTGCGGGGGGCTGGCTATGACATGCTGCTGTCAGACCCGGTGACCCCCTGCGGGGAACTCATTGCTCTCAAGCTGGACATCCCCTTTGTCTACTCTCTACGCTTCTCTCCAGCCTTCACCATAGAGAGGCACTGTGGCAAGATCCCAACCCCACCGTCCTACACACCTGCATCCCTGTCTGAGCTCACTGACCACATGTCCTTTGTTGAGAGAATAAAAAACTTTGTGTCCTACCATCTGCAAGACTATGTTTTCCAGACCTACTGGGGACATTGGGATACCTACTACAGCAAGATCTTAGGTAAGTCTTCTGATACTTCACTTCTCATTATATAGCCTCCATCCTTATGACCTGCAGAGCTAGGAACCTGGCAGGGTCACAAAGTCAAGGGAGAGGTCTGCAAGAGGTTTGTCATTATGCCCCAAAAAAGGGAAGGAGCCACCAGGGTCCATCAGTTGCACCCACTCCGCTGTCAGGGTGCTGTGCTGCTATGCCATTGCATTGAGGCAGGATCAGGGTCTTCCCAATAGATGGATTTGAGTTTTGTCATAATTCATTTTAATGTGGAGGTTCATACAGTTTCCACACCATGAAGGGCCCTCAGCAAAGGAGTCTCAGCTTACACATTTCTCCCTCCAGTGACTGCTTGCACAGAAGGCAGCCAGGAACAGAGTTGTTTTCCTAGTCCATAGTACCATATCAAGGAGGGGGGAGCGGGTGAATTGCAAGCCAGCCTTGCCGCTCTCTGTAGCAATACTGAAATGCATTGTGGCTTTGTAATAGAGACTTCACTTATGTCACTGGTCATAGAAAACCGATCCTCTCTGAACAAAACAAGTTTTATTTAAAACATACCCTCCACCCACAAGCAAACAGTGAAAACAACAAGTCTTTTTCTCTGCAGACTTTTCTCCTGGACTGTTTTGAGTGAATATGTAGAAAAATATGCTTGTTATTAATCACATGTAATCAACAAGCCATTTCTACTACCCTCGCACTAGGCTCTTGAAAAAGACCACTTGCAAGTCTCTCAGTGTTCAAAAAACGTCCTCCGTATACCTCCATGCTGCAGGACTCCAGAAGTACACCAAATTGTGGTCATGTGCACAGTAGATGAAGTACCTCAGCTTGGCTCCTCACAGTGCAACTGTTTCCATCACCCTCATTTTCATCCCAGAAAGGATGCTCTAGGCAGCATGGAAAACATAGCAAAAGCCTTGCACAACAACATTAGGAAAACATTGTGGAACAGAGCTGGTTAGAAACCCTGTAAATAATGATTTTTAGCACAGTGAAGAGGACTTACATTATTTCTTAACTGTACATCAGAAGGGACCATAAATAAAACTGTTTAACAGGTTTTCTACTTCAACTTATAGTGCATAATTGGAAGTTAGTGGCAGGCAGGGGGCCTACAGGATCACCGACTAGCTCTGGCCTCCCACAATGGATGCTCTGGAAGAGGCAAGTTCCCTCGAGGACAGTCTTACTGGAGTCATTTACTGTGTAGTTTCATCTACTTTGAGATGCAACTCTTGAACTGCAGCCTGGGATCACCACTTTAAGTGGGCTGTAAAGGGACACTCAGTGGCTTCATAAAAGCAGAAGTGTGCCCACACAGTCAGTGAACATCTTTGCTGTGTATCCAGCTGTGCTTAAAAGAGCCAGAAGAATGAAAAAATCACCTCTTCTACCAAACAAATAACACAGAGACTGTAGTTAGACAGGCAGGAGCGCTGGGATTACCAACAGGATACTCTTTGGCTCCTCTCTGGAGCCAAAGCTGATGGCTCTTGCGCTGCTCCTGGGGAAGCAGATCTTCCGGCTTCAGCAAGGTGTTTACCACCAGAGGGTGCTAGATGGTGCCAGCCACTTATTGCTCTCCCCGCCCTCCCCCTCTCCCCCCGGAAGACATGCTATTCTCCAGCACAGGATTTCACGGCACGTACCTTGGCTCCCTGCCCTTGGGACCAAGGCAGTGTCACACGTGCCCAGCCCAGCTGAGGAGCGCTGCTGCTGCTGCTGCTGCCGGTGAAGGAAGGCCGCGGGTGCACTGCCACACAGGGCAAGGCTATGGCAGGGAAGGAGGTGGCAGTGCTGTGGCTGCTGGGCGTGCTGGGCTGGGCCTCCGGGGGGAAGGTGTTGGTCTCGCCGGCTGACAACAGCCACTGGCTGAACATGGAGTTCATGCTCCGGGAGCTTGTGCTCCGGGGCCATGAGGTGACTGTGCTGATGCCTTCATGCTTCCTCATCTTCAACCACACGCAGCCCTCACCCTTCCACTTCGAGGTGATTGAGGTGCCGATCACCAAAAAGGAGATGGCTGCCGTACTGGATGAATTTTTCTATTTTTGGTTTTACGAGGAGAAAGTGCTACCATTCTGGAAAAGTGCTTACAAGATAGCTCAACAATTCAAAAAGCTGGAGAATGTAACCAAAACCATTTGTGATGGGGTCCTGAAGAATGAGACGCTGCTGGAGAGACTGAAGGCATCTGCCTTTGATGTCCTTTTGGCAGACCCACTGGCACCCAGTGGGGAGCTGTTTGCTGAGAAGCTGGGTATCCCCTTCGTGTATACCATCCGGTTCTCCTTAGGCAACACAGTGGAGCGGCTCTGTGGGATGCTCCCAGCACCTCCTTCCTACGTACCAGCTGCCCTAAGCAGCCTAACAGATAGGATGACCTTCTGGGAAAGGCTAAAAAACATCTTCAGCTACACTTTGCAGGATATCATGTATCATTACCTTCTCTGGGGAGGCTGGGATCAATACTACAGTGATGTTTTAGGTAAGGCTGCTCTCTCTCCCAGAAATTAGATCTGCTGTACACACAGGAGTAAATACCCAGAGCTGAGAGGTTAAGGCACAAATTAGGAGCAAGACAGCCCTGAACTCACTCTTCTTCCTTCAAATTCCTGTGTCAAGTCAAACAATCCAGGCAAGTACAAACGTTGCCCATTAATCCTGACCTGCTACACTAGTTCAGCTAAGTCCATACAGGCACTTCTAGGATAGGTAAAACAGTGCTAAAGCCACTTGAAACAGAGCTCATCAGTCATATTCATAGATGAATCATGACAAATACTAACAGAAGCAAAATAATACTGTATACCCACCAAACACTAGTACTAGGTTTGGAAAGCTATGCAAGAATCCTACCTGTTTTCTCCTGGCACCCTTCTTGCTTGCCAGCTTGTCTCAAAATGAGAGATAATGGCCTCCTCTGGTCTTTTAAAGGCCTGGGATTTCAGATGAACTGCAATTTGCAGTGATAAAATGACCTTTGCAGATACATGGTTCTTTGCTTTTCTGAAAGTATCTAAAAAAATACTAGAGGGTAGTTGTATTTATTTATTAGGTGTTTTAATTATTTTTGTAAATAATAGTTGCATAATTATTTTCCCATTTTTGCTCTAAGTAATTATAGTAACACTTAAAAGGAAACAGGCCAAACATATATGCATTACTGGTGGGCAGATAAAATGGTATTATTTCAATATGAGACTTTAAAGTGTTTTTATTTTTATTTCACTAGTAAGGTGAATTCTACTGAGAGCTAAGCTGTTAAGATATCCTACTATTAGTATCTAGCTGTGTGTTTTTGATGCTTATCCTGTTTGACATGATACGAAAATCTTGTGCTGGCAGAAGCATGGTTTGGTGATCTGTTGTGTAAGTCTCAGAGATGTTTGGATCTTGTGGTGCCTTTTTTATTGTTAAATGTGGGGTTTAACATTTAAGGCTTCATGTGCAATACCTGTTTTGTTAGTTTGCGTGGGCTACATGATGGATTTGTGCTGAAAACAGTGTTGACAACACAGGGATGCTTTAATGCTGTGGCTCTGCAGGAGACTCCAGAACGGGATTTGCTGCTTGCCCAATCCTCCTCCTATGAGCGTTGTGTTAGGACATGCCCTCTTGCCACGCTTCCCACTCTTGTCACCAAATGTATGCCACTTTTATTGGTTGGCTCCAAAGTGTTTGCACAGTGAAGCAGTGAACTGCTTCCTGTTCAGTCAGTCCAGAGTTGTACATGGAATGCTGAGATGATGAGGCCAAAGTTCCCCTGGCTGCTCTTGGCCTATGCATGCTGCTGGAGTACTGGCTTTTGTGGGAAGGTGGTGGTCTGGCCCACTGATGCAAGTCACTGGATCAATGTGAAAGTGCTGCTGCAAGAGCTCGTTCTCCGGGGTCATGAAGTGACTGTGCTGGTGCCCTCAACCAATCTGCTCATCAACTACCAAGACACTTCCTCCCCCTTCACCTTCGAGGTCCTGCAAGTCCCCTTTAGCCAGAAGACCCTGGATGCTCTCATGGAGGACTTCCTCAATTTCTGGCTGAACGAAGTCTCTAATGCCTTCCCCTGGGAGGTCATGTGGAGGATGAAAAAGGACCTGGAGGAATTTATCAATATGTCAAAGCAAACGTGTGACACCTTGGTGACGAACTCTCAGCTGATAGCAAAGCTGCAGCAGGCCAAGTTTGATGTTCTGATTGCTGACCCCCTGTCTATAGGTGGGGAGCTCGTTGCAGAAATCCTAGGCATCCCTTTTGTCTACAGCTTCCGCTTCTCTGATGGGAATGTGGTAGAGCGGCTGTGTGGTGGGCTCCCATCCCCACCTTCCTATGTGCCTGCTAGTACAAGTGGGCTGACCCACCACATGTCCTTTATGGAAAGAGTACAGAATTTCCTCATTTACTTCTACACGGATTTATTTTCCTTGAAGGTTTGGCGTGATGAATTGGATGAGTACTACAGTAATGTCTTAGGTAAGGCAGCTGTTGAGTGATTTCTTCTCTTGCATAGGTTGTGCCTTTTGAATGGTTTGGGACTTCAATGCTGTTGTGTCAAAATACTGTTTCTCAAAGGTCAGCAGAGGTGGCAATCCTGTTTTGTTCATAGAGGCGCTGCTTTCCCTTTTAGGTCTGATCTAGTCTATCAGACATGAGAGCAGTTTTGCTCTAGTTCCTCTTGAAGATCTACAGAGCATGTAGTTCTAATTTCTGTCAATGATGATACTGCTGGCGAATACTTGCATTGAGATGTATGTTCATTTTAGAGCTTTCAGAGGACAGTTGCTGCCTCTTCATCTTGATGACGCCAACTTCTACAATTAAGGATGGTAGAAGATAAAGGCTGGAGGGCAAAATCATTAAATGTAAGGCAGCGGTGACAGCTCCATTAGCACCACTGGGATGGAGTTAATCCTGTTGTAACTGGGAACACTGGCTGTCTCTGGACAACTGCAGAGCAAAAAAGCACCCTTCATTCACATGAAGTATCTTGCAATGCTGCATAGTGCAGGATATTGAGCATGAGTTCAGATTCTTGAACAAATAATACTACAAACTGTCATCTTTCCCTTTCATCCACCATTCAGAATTTGAAATGGTCTTCTTAAATTACATGCATACCTGAAAATTTCGTTCCAACACAGTACAACTCGGGCATGATTCAAAGTCTATTAAATAGACCTTTTAGTTAATGGACTTTGAATCTTGTCCAGAATATCTGCCAGTTTAGGCAGATAACGAGTGAACAGCAAGCACAAGGGCATCTCTTCTGTTGCCGTCCAGTCTCTTCCTGTGTTTGCCAAGAATGCCTCTGTGCTCTGCAAACCAGTCCTTCTTCTCTGGACTGATTTTTCTTCTTAATACCACATAAGACTAAATTACGCCTTTATATCACTCTACGTGTAATACAGACTTAATTTTCACTTCAGCAACTTTGTAACTCACTCATTATTCTTTATAAAGAAAAAAAAACTGGTGTAGGTTATTACACTAATCCAGGAATATAAGAAGATGCCTGACAGATAACTTTTATCTTGCTGCTTATTTTGCTTGATTCCTGCTTGTATTAGGCTGGATTTGGGCAATAATTCATCAATACTTCTAACACTTTTACTCCCCAGTTTTGCTTTACGTAGAAAATACTGCAAAGACAACTTGCAACATGTATCTAAGAATATATATTTTTTCTGAATGGGAAGCTATAAAACATTAGATTACCATTAGATTTTTCTCTGTAGATGGATTTCTAGAGACAATGTATTTTGCATAAAAAGACATTCAAAGCATCTATGGATTTGGCCAATTTTTCCCAATATGTGTGAAAAGCAGCTGACCCAGTCCTCAAGAAAACTAGGGATGTCTGTACATGTCTTCTATTGTTGTCTGAGCAGCCACTGACTGAGTCACCATTTAAAAAATGCTACAGCACTTCATTTAAAAACTTTCCTCCTCCCTGACAGTTGATCATCACTTTGTGATTCATTTATTTTTTATTTGGAACTAAATTTTCTGTGATTGTTCTCTTCCCCAAAATGCATTTTTATGCACAGGTAATGAAGTCTTTCAGTGGCAAGAATTACAGCAACAAGACTGCATTTCTATATTACAGATAATAAATGCTTCCCACTTGTACTGCTCTAAATTAATCCTGAAGGTTCAAAATCCTTTTAAAGATTGTATTGCCTTGTTCGTGGCCACCTGCCAAGGCTGAACACAGGACAGGGCAAGGAATAGGTCCAGATTTGTGAATGTTTTCATTTTATGCGTGGTTTGATAGATTACACTGTTTGGGAGTTCCAAAAGACAAAGGTAAGGCTCCTGTTTTGCAATCTACAGATAACAAGGTCACTCCCGTGCATGTTCTAAACCTCTTGTACCTTGTCCGCAGGAAGACCCACAACGCTGTGTGAGACGATTGGGAAAGCAGAGATATGGTTAATCAGAACTTACTGGGATTTTGAATTTCCACGCCCTTTCCTGCCCAACTTTGAGTTTGTTGGAGGACTTCATTGCCAGCCTGCAAAGCCACTACCAAAGGTACTCCAGCTTTGCTCTACTGTTGGCTGATTGGTTGTGCAACAGAACAAAGACTCTCCCTGATCAACCATGCAAGCCATGTCCTGAGAAAGTTCATTCTTAAAGAAATACTCTGCTGCTGGTGGGGAGCATGGAGCTATTTAGCATCTGTCCATGTCCTTCTAACTGAGGGCTGGGGTTACAAGGTTACAGCCTGCTGTCTTAAAAGAGGATAGCAGACTTCAGCATGCGGGAACACAGTGTCTGTTTTGGGAAAAATAGGGGCTACCTCAGAGTAGTTAAGTGTAAGATTTAATTATAAGATACAGACTTGCAGCCCACAATAACATTGAAATACCTGATGCAAAAAGGCACTGTGACAGGACAAATTCTTTAACTAAAATGGGGTCAAGACTTGCAGAAAGAGATGAGTGAGAAACACTTTTTCTATTGTACTTAGTTTAAGACATCTTAAAGGGAGTAAAAGACCTGATCATTTCCAGCCTACACTCTGCTGTGAATGGCCATATTCCATTGGAATTTAAAACTCCCAGATACTGATGATGGCAACATGACAAGCTCAGGTCTAGATTATCATTCCTGTAGGAGCCTCAGAATATGTAGGCCATTTTCAGTGCAAGTTGTCTACTAAAAAAAAAACCTTCTAACTCTCTACTCCCTTACCACTCCCCTGTAGCAGGGGTTGAGACTGGGGGAAATGGATAACCATTCTCATTTGGATATTACTGCCATTTCACATGACACTAACTAAAAAAAAGGAACAGGAAAACCTATTGGCCTGATTTGTAGAAAATCTTCTGAGCAATGTGGTGTGTTGCAAGAAATAAGAGAACTGTCTTGACTAATGAAATGATGGCAGTGACTCAATGAGTCTGTGATCAGGATGCTGAAAAACCGTGTCAGTTTTTAGCATGGTCCCTTCCTGCAGTTATGTAATGCCAAGTACTTGTTCTAGGGAAATCCAGAACCATGACTATGCTACGGAGGGGGCCACAGGGTGTGGCTGGCTCATGATGGTGCCAGGATCCATTCCTGGTGCTTGTGCTCCAAAAGAAATGCGTCCTGAAACTGGTAGATTTTCTTTCCAAAAGACAAAGCATCTGTCACCTGTCTCAACTTGTCCTGCTCATTCTTGGGGAGAAACTGTTTTGCTCAGGGCCAGGTCTGTCTTTGTAACACCCTTCTGTCAGTGGAGGTGCTCGTACACCATGACCATCTCCCTGATAAACTAAAAAGGTTATTCCCTTTTTTCACAGAAACCTGTGCAATCTGCATGGCATAATTACTCTTGGTATGTTTTCTGCCTCTCCTAGGAAATGGAAGAATTTGTTCAGAGCTCCGGGGAACACGGCATTGTGGTATTCTCTCTTGGGTCAATGGTCTACAACCTAAGTGATGAAAAAAGTAATGTGATTGCCAAAGCCCTCAGCCAGCTTCCACAAAAGGTGAATTTCCTTTCAAGCTTAAAACAACTTGCCTTGTTTTTTTCACTCCTGTTGCCTTCAGTGAGACTTTTAAGTTTGAACTGGCCTGTTTTTTATCTGCATCCCTGCTGGATGTGCTACAGCCGGGACACTGGGCTCTCTCTCAGAGAGGCAGACTGCTGAGCTACCTCATGGGGAGTTCTGGCGTTTGACCTCTGAACCAAATTACGTGGAGGTGTGTCCATAGGCCAAAATACAGAGATCACTTCAGTTGATTTTTATAACATGCACATAATAATTAATCAAAGAGTTCAACTGGAGCCGAAGCTATTTGAATTACTGGGAAAAGGCACATGGGTTTGAGATAAAGCCCTACATTACATGCAATAATACATAATGGCACATTGCAGGCACCGTGTTTATCTTATTCTTCCTTTGTTCAAGGTCCTCTGGCGGTACAAAGGGAAAAAACCAGAAACTCTGGGCTCCAACACCAGGATTTATGACTGGATACCCCAAAATGACCTGCTTGGTGAGACTGATTCTATATAGGATGGACTGTATTCTTGGAAAAACTGTTTGTTTTTCCACTGAAATGGGTAATTCAAGACCAGAACCACATAACACTTGTGGATACACTTAGTTTCATAACTTAAGCTGCAGAGCTTTGCTCTTGGGAGCCTTAATTTCCTAAAAGGCTCTGACTTACAGAGCTTAGTGGCAGTTGTCTGGAAAGGCTCAAAAACACCTGTAGGCAGGAGTAAATACCAAAGTAGAGATGTACTCTGGAGTTGGATTTGGCCTCTGCAGTTAATCTCCAAGGCTTATTCTTCAAAATGCTTGACCTAAGCAAGGCTGAAGCAGGAGGCTGTTGTGAACCTGATACCATGTGAAAACTAGAACTGCACAAGAGCAGGAGGGCTGAAGTAACTGGGGTAGTCTGGCAGGACATGATGATTCACACACTGCATTAAAAAAGTATGAATGCATGAAAGCTCAGTGTGCAAGCTCTGCTGCTGAGCCAGAGATCAGGGGCTGTTCCCTTCTCTGGCAGTGCATTTGCCCCAGTGTTCTGCAGTGCTCACATCCCAGTCAGTGCAGTCTGCCACAGCTGCTGTTACATGCGCTTCTCCTTCCCTGTTCCAGGACATCCCTCCGCAAAGGCCTTTATTACTCACGGTGGGACCAACGGGCTCTATGAAGCCATCTACCATGGGATCCCAATGGTTGGGATTCCCATGTTTGCTGACCAGCACGACAACATTGCTCATGTAGTGGCAAAGGGAGCTGCAGTTCAGGTGGATTTCAGCACACTGAAGACTCAGGACCTGGTTGATGCACTGAATACAGTCATTTACAATACCACGTGAGTTTTGTTCTTGCCTTACAGTAGGCTGAGGTTATTAAAATCCTGTGCTGCTGATGTGAGAAGTTCTGCTAGCTCTTCTTGGATGGAAAATGCAGAGTAGCTGAGTTTGGGTTTCAGAGGAAAACCATCCTTCATTTCTGAGAATCAGCATCTCTCAAATAGGAGAGATCAACAATTTGATTTTCCTTATATTTTATGATCCCTTCAAGAAAAAGTTTTGGAAAGCCCAGAGCAGCTCTTGAGACAGTTCTCTGCTAGAGTAAATCCTCTGGAGGCACTAGCTGTATTAGGTCTTCTCTGTCTGTAGTCACAACAGTTCTTTATCCTACCCCTGACTTACCAATATCCTTAGGTTACCATACCTATCATTCAGGACTTAAGAGGGTAAGGAAGGCCAGCAGCTTAGATCCCATGCTAAGGCTAAGGCCATTGACAGAGAGATTGGAAAAAATGCAGAAGTCCTCAGTCTTTAGTAGCAACTCCTGTCATGTGTGAGTGACAGGTGTTCCTTCAATATGAACTTTCAAATTCCTGAAGCAAATGGACCAACACTGATGGAGGTATCTAGTATCTGAGGGAGTTAGCCATGTGGGAGGTGACCTGTAACAACCTGGATGATATCTTGTGTATCCAGCCTCCCTACCTTCCCCTTAGTTTTATTGGTGAACATGACGCCATATGACCTGGGATATCCCTTGGGTGAGTTGGGGTCAGCTGTCCCAGCTGTGTCCCCTCCCAACTCCTTGTGCACTCCCAGCCTCCTCACTGGTGGGGTGGGAGGCAGAAAAGGCCTTGGCTCTGTGTAAGGGCTGCTCAGCAGTAAGGAAAGCATCCCGATTTTATCAACTTGTTTCCAGCACAAATCCAAAACATGGCCCACACTAGCTACTGTGAAGAAAAAGCTAACTCCATCCCAGCCAAAACCAGCACACCATATTACATTGGTGCATAAAATGCTGCAAATGTTTCCATGTTGCTTTTTTTAAGGAGTATCTGTAATAATTTCTGATAACATTTCTTTGCAAAATATTGGCTTTCTCTATTAGTACTTTTAACCCAATTTTATGCATACGGGAATAAATTGGACCAGTCTCAAATATATTTAAATAAGACTGATGAAAGGAAAAGTAGGGCTGTCTACCTTCCTCAAGAGGACTGCCAGGTGCTGAACAGGTTGTTTCAGGAATCACTGAGAAATCTCCTTGGTTTCTTCCTTTTTTCTCCCCAGCTATAAGGAAAATGCTCTGAAGTTATCCAAGATACAACATGACCAGCCAGTTAAGCCTCTGGACAGAGCTGTCTTCTGGATTGAATTTGTCATGCGCCACAAAGGAGCAAAGCACTTGAGACCAGCTTCTCACCATCTCACCTGGTACCAGTACCACTCCCTGGATGTTCTGGCATTCTTGTTCACCTGTGTAGCCATTGCTGTCTTCATTCTTGTTAAGTGTTGCTTATGTTGCTGTAGAAGATGTGGCAGGATTGCAAAGAGGAAGACAGAATAGACATCTTGTTCTCATCAGCACTTTTTCTTCTCTTAGGCTGATTCAGCAAGGCATTTATTAGGATGTGCTTTAAACTGGGCATATCATGAAGTGCCCCACTGAACAGGGTCATGATACAAAGCTGTTGTGGGGAAGAGCTGCTTGCTTAGCCAGCAAATTCCTTCTGGCCTAAATAAAATTGAATTATAGTTGCTTTAGCCCTTGGGACCATGTTAGCTGATCATACATGGTCCCTACCATGGTAATTACTGCTCTAACTTTTTAAATTCATTTGGGTATATTCCATAAATTCAGCCTTCCTCTGTGTGGTACTGTGGGTCTGCAACTAGTATCCTTACCTTAACTCTGTCCTCTCCTCTAGTGTCACCCAGGCTCGATGATTCTCAACCATAATGCCTCTCCTGTCAGAGTCTCTCCAGACAGGACAGTGAGGCTAAGATCACAGGCTTCTAAAAAGTGCCCAGCTGAAGGGCTGTGATCCTAAAAATTGGGCACTGCAAGTGGCAAATGCACTGACTACTTGGCGGCTGAGGGGAGACCAGAGTCCTAAGACCATTAGAGAAGTTGCTTTTCTGGGAACCATTTATCTTTTCCTTTCAGTCTGGAGTCCTGCTGCACAGGCCATCATTCTAACTGCAACACTGCAGGGATGTGAAAACCACCTGTCAGGAACTTGCCCGTTTTAAACCCCAAATACCTCTGAGCCATGCAAGAAAAACTCTAGAGAGGGAACTTGCAAAGCAGTAACATTACAAGTGGGAACGGTGCACTGGTCACTTGCCTTGCCTGCAAAGTTTGAGGGAAAATAATGCTGCTCTTGGGTCAGGTAAGACTGGTACTAAATGCAGTACTTCTTCAGTTGTCCAGGGTGTCTACTAAAATGCTGCTAGTTAAGGCCTCCTGTTCTAGGTAAGGTTATTATGTGCCAGCTTACTTGAGAAAGAACCTGCTCCAATTTTAACTGATATTTGCTGTACTCTGGAATTGTTTTCAAACAGAACCGGCTGAGAAAACATGATTATTTGTTTACATAATAAAATTCCTTATATCTCATCAACTTTTTTATTAGCATTGTCATGTTTCAATGTGTGACTAAATCTCTTCATACTACAACATGTACAAAAGCTCAAGTGAACTGTTTCCAAATTGAAGAGGGGTTAGAACAAGACTACTGTATCTCATGGCAATTTTTGGTACACTGTTCCTACTGTCATGATGGAATGATATGCAGGAATATGCATATTAAAATATGCATAGTGAACAGAAAATAGAACAGTGTGACATCCAGGCCCCAGATCTGAAAGAGTTTGCTGTAACTGTTCACAGCTGGGTCCCCAGGCACAGCTCCATCACTAACAGCCCCAATCACCCAGTTGCTGAGATGTCAGTTCAGATGCCTGAAGGCCAGCAAGCCTTCTAGAACACTCCATAGGCATTGGTCAGACAGGGCTAACAAAGGACACTGGTAACAGGATAGCTGGGAAAAGTCAGAGAGAGAAAGTGCTCCATAGTCACTGTAAGGAGAGGTGCTTCTTTTCAGTAACCTACTCAGAAAAATTCAGCTTATCTAGTACTGAATTTAAAAAGTAAAAAAAAAAAAAAAACCAACCAACCAACCAAAAACCAAACAAAACCAACCCCCCCTCTTCATTTTTTCATTTTAGAATCTGCATATAAAGCAGAGAAAGATATCAAAGTAGGAAGGTGGTCTATGATGCATTTCTCCAATTAGACACAGTATGTATACTAAATTTGTCACACTGATCTGACCCTACAGCTAGCATGCACACCTCTCCGTGAACAATAAACTGTTTTGAGGAACCCAAACACGTGCAGCTTGTTGTGCTGCTTAAAGAATCCACACGTACTTGCACGTTGGAGGTCTAACTTTTTGCTTAACACATGTAGATTTTTACTGGAATTGTAGACTAAAATAAACAGAGCCCAAATTATTGCCAGATCTAAAAAACACATGCTTCCACAACTGCCACACTGTGGCCAATCCTGTACTGCCATTTATAAAAACATCTGCAGCACCTAGCACAGTGGAGCTTGGGTCTTTAAAACACATGCTACAGTTTGGTTTTGCTACATGATCAGATGATGAAGAAAGTTTATGAAGTCCACCCAAGCAGTGCTACTCTTACAAGTTTTGAAAATTTGGAAATTGCTAAAGAAACTGAAGAACTTTCACTACAAGTTTTACTTTTCTTCCTCCCCCTGCACCCTCCCCCAGTTTTACCATTGGCATTTTGGTTAAAATATTTCCTATCTAAGAGAAATAAAAAGTGATGCAGTTTTCACTACAAAGAACACATGGGGAGCATCTGGATCTTGCAGAACTAACACACTTCTGAGAGACAGATATGACTGTGGCCAAGGACAGCCTCTCAATAGCTTAAAGATCGTATGATTAATATGAACATGTAGGGCCTTACTAACTCTGATGAGCTGCAGGAATTGTAAGCTGACTACATCACTGTGGAAACAGAAAAGCAATTACCTTTTATTTCAGCAGTCCTTTTCCTAAATTCAGGCTTCAAATCAACTTCACCTACCACATGAACATTTAAACTGTTTTTGAACACAAATGTTTTCCTAGAACTGCCAGAATCTATCAAATCTAGCAAGCTTAGAAAATAAAGAAACCTGATGTGACGTTTTAAACATTTCAATAGTTACCAATTTATTTTTATAAAAAAAATGGTAGCAATGTAGAATACAGCAATATTTTCTGGTTCCACACACGCAGGTTGTGAACATTCCAAGCAACGTGTACATTTTGGAAGGAGACTAGACAAGAGAATTGACCAAAATGTTACTGAACATGGGAAGATTTTTAAAAAAGGCTAAAAATTAGATATCAATAGTGTCTTCTTAATATTGCTTTTATTACCGAAGACTGAAAAAAACACTTGACTTTACAGATAGGGTTAAAAAATGGGGTGGGGGAAAGAAAAAAAAGGCTGCTACAACACTGCCATACAGTCAAAAAAAAAAAATTCAAACTTCAATATTTGCATACTTGATAGCAGCATTCTCCCATCGAACCATATGAAACTACAGGAAGAAAACATCAAAGCAAAAAAAAAAAAAAAAAGGCAGTTATCCATCAGTATTCAAAAACCTAGAATGAAGTCACTAAGTAGATGAACACTTATTGAGAATTAATGAATCAATATCTACATTCTTAGCTGTTTCCAACTCTGTTCCAATAGAAACGTGAAGTTGAGTGTCAGCTTTGCGTATTTTATTTTTGGCCTATTTGAGTTTTTTCCAGTTCATAATTCATTGCATGCTTGGAATAGAGAGGGTCATTATAAATCCTTCTACACAATGAACTTTAAGTAGACAGCTGAAAATAAAATGTACTACTTGTAAACACACAAAAAAATACAAGCTTTTTTTGTTTCAAGTGAGCACTGGTTCCAGATAGATTATCTTCGGTATCTACCTCTTTCACCTCTGTCTCTGTCCCGGTCACAAATCCTCTCTCTCTCCCTTTCCCGATCACGGCCTCTGTCGCGTTCTCTGTCTCTTCTGTTGTCTCTAGGACGGTCCCGTTCCCGCTCCCGGTCCCTCTCCCGTGGCCTGCTTCTCCGACCACTGACAACTGCTTGTGTGCGGCGAAGAAAGTCGTCTACTCTCATGTCATAGTCATGCTGGGATGAAAAAACAGCTCTGTTTATTTTCTTTCTCATATTAAAAGTCCCCCCCTTATTCACAGGGCTGGCTGTACCTCTGCAGAAAGCCCAGTATTTAAAAAAACCCAAACAAATCCAAAGTGTCCAGCATCCATGAGCAGAAGCTGGGGTTCAAGTGCCAGATATCAGCAAGAGACCTGAAAGCTAAGCAGCCTTCTAAGCCAACTGACAGAAATTTAACCATCTGCCCTGTTTTCTAATGTGCCTGTAAAAAATAGCAGAACACAAACTTCTGCCGATAAAGTAATTTGTTGTGCATGAGCACAGGCAATGTGACAGGTGTGTCCTTATTCAAAGTGGGCTTCAGCATGAAAACATTCAGAGCTGGACAGCTGGAAGCCAATTTAAAACACCCCTCAGTTTAAGAGTTTGAAAATGTTGTGCTTCTACCTCACCTGGTAGAGAAAAGGTTTTCAAATTTGCTGGAAGTGTCAATCTAGATAACCGATCTTTCTAAGGAACACTACCACAGGTCATAAAAATGCAGTTTATCACAGTCAACAAAGCTCAGGTTAGGCTATAACTGGACCCCAGATTCCTACTCTAGCCTGCAGACTTGCATCCCCCTCTGTCTCTCTGGCCACTCACCACTCGTTTGTCTCTGTATCTCGCTTCATGTGGTACAGGATGATGTCCTGAGTATGGAGGATGAGCTTGAGGTGGAGGTGCATGGTGCTGATAGTAAGGGTGGTGTGGTGGTTGTTCCATACCTGGATATGGTGGCTACAAGAAAGTTACAGGAAGTTTGTTAGTGTTTCAAAGCAAAGGAATGCACACAAGGCTGAGCGCTGGTAATTAAAAACACAGGTTACTTTCAGATGGAGAACACAGCAACTAAATATATCCGATTACAGCCTCCTAACTGAATGGTAGACTACTTCCCACTAAGTTGGCATGCTTTACTACCTCTCTACCACTGCTTTTAGAAGTTTGGTCAACACACTCCCCAAAACCAAACATGCCCTCCCTCCATATCTGCCTCAACATGATACTGTACATAAAACTTCTGCTTCTTAAATGTGGTGGGTTTGGCTTTTTAAACCTATGCATATGGAATATGAATTCTGTCCAAACCAGCCAGCTCTTACAGAACGAGTCTTTTCAGTGTCACTCCTTATGAATACGTTTCTATTTTAACTGAAAAAAACCTTACTTTGCAAGACAAATTATTTGACAAATGGCAGATTTTTTTTTTTTAATAAGACATATTTTGGCTGATTTCTTCCACTTCTTCAATCAGCAAGGCCTTCCTTTCCCATATTACCAAACCATCATGGCTTACATTTTTGTTACAAAGAAAGTAAGTGGAAGTGCTGGATTTTAGGATGACTACTTGGAGACCATGTAAAATAGGGAAGAGAGGAGGGAAGAAAAAAAAGTTTCCGGAGGTTTAGCTGTGTTTGAAAAATCATTTTTCTTCCCATCTGACAAGCTCATTCACTTCCTTCAGTTATAAAAAACCATAGCTGTGTTTCAGCTGAGAAAAATCAGAGGCTACAGGAGCATCTCTACATCTGGCACTGCTTTTTGCTCATTGCCAGTATACACAAGAGCCAAAAGACTCATTACAGTTACGCAAAATCAGGCCAGACTTAATAGATGTAATCAAAATAACTTGCTATAATGACTACTCCTCCTGACACACTATCAGTTAATTTCTATCTGCAGAGATGTAGATATGTGCACTCAGGTATCTGCTCATCTGACTGGGAAAAGATTGCATTTCAGTGGAGGCTGTATACGGGCAGACTTATTTTAACTATGTTGCTCAGTCCACTTTGCTACGTTCCTGCATGCTTCACTGCCAGAGCCAAAAGCAAGCCACTGCACAGCACTAGAGCACATCAGCTCATTCCATCAGCCTCTTCAGCAAGCCCACCTGTTCGATGCATTTGCTGTTTGAGAGAAAGCCAATTACTATGGACATTCAGCAGAATACAAAATGTTATTACACCCTCTTGGTAGGCTAAAGGAGGGTTCTGCTGTTTCCTCAGAGCTTTCAGTTTCTTGTACATTCAAACCAAGGCAGAGTCCAGCTACCTTATTGTTTACTAGAATGCCAGACTACTGCTGAGAGCTAAGTGAATTTCAAAATACTTGATATTAATATTTTCCCTAAAATGTTTACACAGTTACAGCAAAGATACATTTTAGGAAAAGGGGAGAGTTGAATGCACACTGAATATGCCAGGCTCCTCTAGAGGGAAACAAAAATAGCCATATTCTATGGAGAAAAATCGAATTCAACAAGACACAAACCATTCCTTGCCACGGTGGTGGTGGTCCCATGTTGTGAAATTCCCTCACGTAATCATTGTAGGACTAAAACAAAAGACAGTAACATTAAAATTTGTGATAATTGTTCTTTGGAAGCGCAGAAAG